TGGCTCCCACCTGTTGGTCTGTGTCTCTCTACCAAAGCCTGCAACTCCAGCTCTCTCCAAATTCCAGGACCACTTCCTCCCCAGCAACTTCAGATCTGGGCTGGTAACAGCTCCCTGACCCCAGGAGTCACCATTCCTTGTTGATTTCCCTTCATCCTGTCCATGACTCCTCAGTGGTGCCTCGTAAGTACAGCAGCTGTGTGACAGGTGACCCATACAGGCGTTTGTTGCTGTTTTTCTGAACTCAATTCCAGGTTATAGGTTTCTGGACCATATTAAATGCTCCCAGGATGAAGTCCTTACATTCAGGTTCCTTCACACACGTTATCCCTCCACCTAGCATGCCCTTCCCCCGTCTCAAGACTTTTGGAGTCAGATATCTGGAAGAAATCTCAATTCTGTCTCCTATACATCAAAGCCAAGAATCTCTTAACTCTTCTGTACACACAGGATAGAACCACAAAAATAGACCGAATGAATATGTTTTGGCTTTCAGGCCAGACAGCCAAATATTTATGGCTCACTGTATGCCAAGCACTGTGGTAGGCTTAGGGAAGCTGCAGCAGACAACAAGGACCCTCTCCCTGCACCTCTGGAGGCAGAGAACTGGATGAATTCAGTAAATTCAAGCATGTTCTGTGAACCACCTTGACCTAATCTAATTGACATTTACAGGATCTATCAAACAGCTGCAGAGTGTTGTTTATATATTTTAAGGGCCAATAGAATGTGGAGCAGGATGTGCTGGGCCATTAAAAAGTAATAAATTTCTGCCCTAGCTGGTTTGGCTCAGTGGTTTGAGTGTCCGCCTGGGGACTGAAGAGTCCCAGGTTCAATTCCAGTCAAGGGCATATGCCTGGGTTGTGGGCTCTATCCCCAGTAGGGGGTGCGCAGGAGGCAGCTGATCAATGATTCTCATCATTGATGTTTCTATCTCTCTCTCCCTCTCCCTTCCTCTCTGAAATCAATAAAAATATTTTTTAAAAGATTAATAAATTTCAGAGGATTAAAATTATATGGAGTATATTGTCTAACCACAAAGGAATTAAATTAAAGATCACTAATAGTAAGTTATTTAAAAAGCCCAAATGTTTATAAATTAAGGAACACCTAAATAAACTATGGTTCATAGAAAAAATTCACAGGGAAAAAGATATTATTTCTAACAATGATAATGAATCACAATATATTAAAATGTGTGAGATGTAGTTAAAGCAGTGCATAGAGGGAAATGTATAGCTTTAAATGCTTATATAGAAGCATTTATATAGAAGATAAAGGTTTTAAATCAATGATCTGGGCTGCTCAGTTGATTGGACATCATTCTGTACACCAAAAGGTTGGGGTTTGATTCATAGTCAGGGCACAAACCTAGGTTTCGGGTTCAGTCCCCGGTCTGGGCACATATGGGAGAAAACCGATCAATGTTAGTCTCACATCAATGTTTCCTTCTCTCTTCCTCTCTCTTTTAAATCAATAAAAACATATCCTTGGGTGAAGATTAATATAAATGTTGAAAAAAATAAATGATCTAAGTTTCCATCTTAAGAAGCTAATAAAAGAAGAGTTGATTAGACACAAGGTAAATAGAAGAAAGAAAAAGTAAATATAAGAACAAAAAGCAAAGAAATAGAAAACAGAAATTAGAAAAAAATAACAAAGTAAAAAGTTAGTACTTTGAAAAGATGGATAAAACATTAATTTCTGCCGAAGCCGGTTTGGTTCAGTGGATGGAGCATCGGCCTGCAGACTGGAGGGTCCCAGGTTCGATTCCAGTCAAGGGCATGTGCCTGGGTTGTGGGCACATCCCCAGTAGGAGATGTGCAGGAGGCGGCTGATCAATGTTTCTCTCTCATCGATGTTTCTAGCTCTCTATCTCTCTCCCTTCCTCTCTGTAAAAAATCAATAAAATATATTTAAAAAAAAAACAAAAAACATTAATTTCTGGCAAGACTAATCAAGGAAAAAAAAACACCCACAAATTACGTTGCCAGTGGGACATCACCACAGACCCTACAGACATTAAAAGGATAACAAGAAAACATTAACAGTTTATACCACTAAGTTCTACAACTTAGATGAAATGGACAGATCCCTTGGACAGAAACAACAAGTATACTAATTGCAATAAAAGAAAATTACAAGGCACTATGGGAGAATTCGGCAAAGGGGTTTTCCTAAGTTCAGAGGGAACTGGATAGGTTTCACAGAAGTGATATGTAAGCTGAGACCTGAAGAAGTGGGATTTGACCAGAGCGATAGAATTATGCCCAAAGGTCCTGATGTTGGAATGAGGGTTGTGTGTCCAAAGGAAAAAAAAGTCTATTGGGGAGACACCCAAGATGGCAGCATAGGTAAACACCGGAGTTTGCTGCCTCGAACAACCACTTCAAAAATACAACTAAAAGACGGAACGGACATCACCCAGAACCACAGGAAGGCTGGCTGAGTGGAAATTCTACAACTAGAAGGAAAGAGAAAAGCATACCCAGACTCAGAGGAGGCGCAGTGCGGAAGTAAAATACTAAGGTGCGGAGTGCATGCGGAGCGGGCTGGCGGCTGAGGGCGTGGTTGTCGTTTTCAATCGGGAGGGAGTCTCAGGCTCTGAGCTCCAGTTCCAGGCGAGTCTCTAGGGACCCAGACTCATACGGGAGAAGCGGGACTGTCTGGCATCGGTCAGAACCCTAGGGCAGCTTTCTCTCCGAGGGGCTTGCAGTGATTACCGGGACACTGAGAAGCAGAGCCTCTGAGGACAAGACTGAGAGCAGCCATAACTGCTAGCCCTGCCCTGTTGATCCCCTGGGACCTGCCCCGCCCAAGCCCTGCAGGGAGGCTTTAGCTGGATAGCCGCAGGCAAAGGCTAGATTAGCACCTCCCTAGAGATCCAGGAGCCAGGAAGCCCAGAGGTCAGAGTGGGACCATCCAGTTTGCAGCTCCCTGGAAACATAAAGGACACACTCAGGGGGCAGACTCAGTGAGCACCAAAACCCCATTGAAGCAAGTCTTGCCCCAGAGGGGTGTCTCCAGCACAGAAGTTCTCCCACTGCAGACACAGCTGATTCTCACAGCCAATTGGCCTGGAGGTCAATTCCTCACAGTGATAACTACAACAATCAAGGCTTAATTACAACAAGACTGTGCACAAAGCCCACAAGGGGGTGCACCAAGAGTGTCTACCTCAGGTAATTGGGACACTTAGCACAGAAAGGCACCCTATCAACACAGCAAAGCATAAAAAATGCCGAGAAAAAGAAACAGGACACAAATGACAGAAATGGAGGAAAGCAAACTGCAGGATATAGAGTTCAAAACCACACTTTTAAGGTCTTTAAAGAACTATCTAGAAGCCGCCGATAAATTTAGTAAGGCCCTCGAAAAGACTGGTGAGACTGCCGATAAATGTATTGAGATCTTCAAGAAATCTAGTGAGACCCTCGATGTTGTGATAAACAACCAACTAGAAATTAAGCATACACTGACTGAAATAAAGAATATTATACAGACTCCCAACAGCAGACCAGAGGATCGCAAGAATCAAGTCAAAGATTTGAAATATGAAGAAGCAAAAAACATCCAACCGGAAAAGCAAAATGAAAAAAGAATCCAAAAATATGAAGATAGTGTAAGGAGCCTCTGGGACAGCTTCAAGCGTACCAACATTAGAATTATAGGGGTGCCAGAAGAAGAGAGAGAGCAAGATATTGAAAACCTATTTGAAGAAATAATGACAGAAAACTTCCCCTACCTGGTGAAAGAAATAGACTTCCAAGTCCAGGAAGCTCAGAGAACCCCAAACAAAAGGAATCCAAAGAGGACCACACCAAGACACATCATAATTAAAATGCCAAGAGCAAAAGACAAAGAGAGAATCCTAAAAGCAGCAAGAGAAAGATAGTCAGTTACCTACAAGGGAGTACCCATACGACTGTCAGCTGATTTCTCAACAGAAACTTTGCAGGCCAGAAGGGAGTGGCAAGAAATATTCAAAGTGATGAATGCCAAGAACCTACAACCAAGATTACTTTATCCAGCAAAGCTATCATTCAGAATTGAAGGTCAGATAAAGAGCTTCACAGATAAGAAAAAGCTAAAGGAGTTCATCACCACCAAACCAGCATTATATGAAATGCTGAAAGGTATCCTTTAAGAAGAGGAAGAAGAGGAAAAAGGTAAAGATACAAATTATGAACAACAAATACACATCTATCAACAAGTGAATCTAAAAATCAAGTGAATAAATAATCTGATGAACTGGTGATTGTAATAGAATCAGGGGCATAGAAAGGGAATGAACTGACTATTCTTGGGGGGGGAAAGGGGTATGGGGGGGTGCGGGAGGAGATTGGACAATAATCGTGCACCTATGGATGAGGACAGTGGGTGGGGATTGAGGGCGGAGGGTGGGGTGGGAACTGGGTGGAGGGGGGTTATGGTGGGAAAAAAGAGGAACCAATGTAATAATCTGAACAATAAAGATTTAATTTTTAAAAAAAGTCTAGTGGTCCTTTTCGGTGTTTGGTGTACCCATGTTTATGTCCTTCCTGGGTGTAAACCTCCAGGTGGACCCACTTAACTTGATCAGAAGTGTTTAGAGAGCAAAGCAAACCTACTTGTCAAACAAATCTTTGCAAGTTTCTGAGCTGGAGCTGGAAGGCAGTTTATTCTGCAAAGTATATCATTGCCTCAGTTCCGGAGCTAGTGTTTCACCTGGCTTGCGAAGCTCCTAAAGCTTTTCTTCTCTGGTTTCACGTTGGAAATGCTCACACCCCTCGTGGCATTGTGCTCCATCTCGAGTTCTTTGGATCTGTCTGCTCCTCTTAGCTGCATTCAACAGAGCAAGAAGATGAGGCTTCAAAGGAGAACCATGCCTTGCCTGAGGTCACGGAGGCCAAGCCCTAACCACCCTCCATCTGACATGTACATCAACTTTGGCGCTGGTTGGGCTGTGGTATATGTCTTGGGCGTGGATTTCCCAAACAGCCCACAGTCCTTACCCTTCCTCATTCCCAGGAGTCCTCTCATTTGCTTATCCCTCACATCTTCAGAACTATGGCCACCAAGGCTCCGAGAGGTGCCAGCTAGGGTCTGATGTGCACCAATGGAAGGGGTGGGGAGAGGAGAAGGAGTCTTTCAGTAACTCAGATATATATGCAACTTCCTGCCAGTGAGGAAATACTCGGCTAGAAACAGCCCAGCTTCTCCTTTCCCTGCTCTGGCCCCACAGAAGGAGTTGTGGTGAACTGTGGGCCACACTGGCCTCAGCCAGATTGCCTGGCCAGTCGCTGGAGAAGCAATGCCCTGGACTGTCCTGCTCTTTGCAGCTGGTGAGCCTGACACCCCTGCACTCCCCCTTCCCCCCGCCCCCAAGCCACTCCCCATGCCTGCCCACCTTACCTCTGCTCTGGGGGCAGGAACCTGTACCTGGGGCTGCCCTCCCCAGGTGCTGGAGTAGGCTGAGCCCTGACAGATTTGTCCCAGAGCCTTGGAAATGTCCCAGGAGCATGGCTTTCTTTTATGGGGCTCCTCGTTATCTCCACATCACGGTTATCAGAAATGCCACCCGCCGAGGAGAGCGGTGCCCACGCCCCATGACTCAGCCCTGTTGGCCTCTGAGGCACCCACCTCCAGGGCCAGAGCAGCAGATTTGCCAGCGGAAAACGGAAGGCTTGGGTAGACCTCACCTGAGCCAGATCCACACTGTGCGCAGGAGCCTGGGGGCGGCTGGGGAGACACTGAACCCTGAAATCTATATTCCTCACCACAGCCTGGGAAGCAAGCTAGAACCTCCCCTCCTCCGGCTCTCCCTGTTTCTCATGCCCTCGAGCCAGCCTCCTGGAATACCCCACACCCCTCCAGCCTCCCAGCCTTTGCCCATGCTGTCCCCTCTGCCTGAAATGCTTTCTCTCAGCAATTCCTGTGTCGCTTCTTCCGGGAAGCCCTCCGTGGTCAACCCAGCTACTGCAGCTTCTCATTACTCTAATGCAGTGGTTCTCAACCTGTGGGTCGCGACCCCTTTGGGGGTCAAACGACCCTTTCACAGGGGTCGCCTAAGACCATCGGAAAACACATATATAGTTACATATTGTTTTTGTGATTAATCACTATGCTTTAATTATGTTCAATTTGTAACAATGAAATTGGGGGTCACCACAACATGAGGAACTGCATTAAAGGGTCTCGGCATTAGGACGGTTGAGAACCACTGCTCTAATGTGCTGCACAGCATTTCTTATCTCCTTGAGAACATGAGCTCCCGGAGGCAGGCATGTCTGTCTGTCTGTCTGTCTCATTCACTGCTCTGTCCCCAGTACCTAAAGCAGGGCCTGGTGCCTAGTCAGTACTGGTGATTGAAGTAATGAGAATGTGATTGCATTGCTGTGTAATAACTACTGCTATCATTTAAAAAAATGACTCAAACCCAGTGACCCCTGACCATGTACAGGGCACTCAATTCCCCAACATCGCAGTAGGGTGGGGATGACGAGCCTCCAGTTGTACATAAAAATCAAGGCCCACAGACATTTATCAACCTGTTTGACTCTATCTTGATTTGAATGCCTTCTAGAATGTGTAACAGTAATTAAAGATGTATCTTCCATGCTACATGTATAGTAAGAACTTCTATTAATTGTATATATGCCTTTGATGTATTTCCCCCTCCCAATCATCAGCTGCGTACTAGGATGTGACAAGTGAAGAATACATCTGTAATCAGCTGGGGGAGGGAGGAGCAAGGTCCAGAGCGTGAGCCACTTGCCCAAAGCCACACAGCCAGGTTGGCCCCTGCTCGAATCACCCACTCACCCCACCTCCCTTTTCTGCATTGTAGGCTCCATGGCGATACCAGCGCCATCCATCCTGCTGGTGCCCCCACACCCCAGCAGTCAGGAGGACCCCATCTACATTGAATGCACGGCCCCCCAGGGCTTCCCAGGGGCCAACTTCACGCTGTACCAAGGGGAGAAGGTGGTCCAGCTCCTGCAGGCCCCCGTGGACCAGCTCAGGGTCACCTTCAACCTGAGCGGCGGCTGGGAGGCTGCCGGCGGAACGTTTCACTGCCAGTACGGCGTGTTAGGCGAGCACAGGCAGCCGCAGCTGTCAGACCTCAGCGAACCTGTGCACGTGTCCTTCCCAGGTAAGGCCCTTCCACCAGCCCTCGCTGCCTGGCTCCATGTTCTCACTACCAGGCCTTTCCAAGTGCTGTTCCCTCTGCGTGGAAGTTGTCATAGGACGAGCCAGGCTTCCAACTTACCAGGATTCACTCACTTTTCCTTGTTTAAGCCTCACAGTCATCCTGTGCGGTGGGTGTAGTGGTTCTCCCCATTTTGCAGATTAGGAAACCAAGAGATGAAGGGACTTGCCCAAGTCACACAGCGAGCAGGCAGCAGAGCTGGGATTCCACTGGTCTCCAAAGCCCGGGCATTAACTGTGCATGCTCTGCTGCCCCTCCCCTCCTGGCCAGGGGACATTTTAGAGCACCTGCCACGCACCGTGAAAGAGTAGTCTGAGAATTGTTCCATCTGCCAGTGGGGGCAAGTAAAATGCAAGGATGAAATACAGCCTGGTGAAGGGTGTCATTTTATTTTTTAAAATATATTTTTATTGATTTCAGAGAGGAAGGGAGACAGAGAGATAGAAACATCAACGATGAGAGAGAATTAGCTGCTTCCTGGCACGCCCCCTACTGTTGATTGAGCCCACAACCGGGGCATGTGCCCTTGACCACAAATCCAGGCCCACACTCTATCTACTGAGCCAAACCAGCTAGAGCTAAAGGGTGTCATTTTAAATACAGAGGAGAGTGGTCAGGAAACACTTCTCTGAGGAGGCAGTGTTTGAGAACAGACCTGAATGATAAGGAGCCAGCCACATGAATGTCTCTGGCAAGAAGGTTCCAGGTAGAAGGAACAGGATGTGCAAAGGTCCTGAGGCTGGAGTGTACCTGGTGTGTTTGAGCAACATGGAGGCACCCGTGATTGAAGCCTAATGAGCAAGGAGGAAAGTGGGGAGAGACGAGGGCAGGGAGGTAGCAAAAAGGCTCTTGTAGGGCCTTGTGGCTGCAGGAAGGACTCTGGCTTTCTGGGTGAGTGGGACAGAGTTCGGGAAGCTGCTGATCTTTTCAAGACAGGGTGGGTGTGGGCTCTGGATCAAGGAGCGGAGAGAGGGAGGAGCCTCCAGGTGGAGCCTCTCTGTCAGCATCAACCAGAACTTTTCCAGCTGCAAATAGAACTTGGTTGCTAGCAGAGGCTCACACATTGTGATGACAAAACAGTCTCTATGTCCTTCCCGGCCTCAAGCTCTACTATCAAAGGCCCCCTTCTCTTACCTTGGTCCTGTGGTCTCAGAGTGGGGAGGTGACAACCCTTACCCCCCACCCCAGATGAATGAATGAACAAGGCTAACACTGTGAGAAGACCAAGTGTGCATTTCTCCTTCACCCTCCTGGCTTAGCTCCTGACCTCCACTGGGTCAGGGCATCTGCTCCAGGCTCCCCTGAGAGATCCCCTCTCTCTCCAGGGAGGGGCAGACAAAACTCTGGAGCTGGGGCTTCGGCTTCTGTGGCTGACCTCTGTGTAGGCCTCATGGTCCACACATGTCTAGAGGGGGGGCGGGATTTGTCCTCTGATCCCCTGGTACCCATGCTGAAATCAGCAGGACTCTTCAGGCTGCAAGTAACTGAAAATCTGACTCAAACTGGCTTCGACAACAAAAAGGGATTTGTTGATTCGCTGAACTGAAGTCAGATCACAGTGCTGACTTCAGGCATGGCTGGATCCAGGTGTCCAAAGATGTCAGGAATCATTTGCCACCTCTCAGTTCAGCTTTCCTTTGTGTCGTATTCTCAGGCAAGTCCTCCCCCACATAGTAGCAAAATTCTACCCAGCAGCTCCAGATGTATATCCTACCAGTTTTGTAATATTGGGTAGAGGAGTAAACCTCTCTTCCCAGCAGAGGCCTATCCAAAGTCTCAGAATTAATTCTCATTGGCTCAGCTTGGGTCACATGCCCATCTCTGAACCAATCACAATGACCAGGGGGAGGGAATGTGCTAATTGGCTAGATATAAGGTTTGCTGGGTCCCTAGGGTCCAGTTACACTCAAGCCACATAGTTGGGGTGCAAGGGGGGAAAGCTGACAAGATGACAGTTGTCCTCCCTCCTCCCTGTGCCTCCACAATCCATGACCTGCCCACTCTCTCTTTTCCCATTTTCCTCTAGTACCCACTTGGATCCTGGCACTCTCCTTGAGCCTGGCTGGAGCCCTCCTCCTTGCTGGGCTGGTGACTGCTGCTGTGGTGATCAGGAAAGGTAACAGCAGGCAAAGAAAGCCTCACCAGAGGATGTGTTCATTGATTTAGAGAGAGAAAGGGAGAGAGAGAGAGAGAGAAAGAAACATCCAAGTGAAAGAGAAACATCGATGGGTCCATCTGTCGCCTCCCGCATACACCCTGACCAGGGATCAAATGCGCATGCAACCCGGGTATGTGCCCTGACTGGGAATCGGGTATGTGCCCTGACTGGGAATTGAACCCACAACCTTTTGGTGCACAGGATGAGGCTCTAGAGCAGGGGTGGGCAAACTTTTTGACCCGAGGGCCACAATGGGTTCTTAAACTGGACCGGAGGGCCGGAACAAAAGCATGGATGGAGTGTTTGTGTGAACTAATATAAATTCAAAGTAAACATCATTACATAAAAGGGTACGGTCTTTTTTTTTTTTTTTTTTTAGTTTTATTCATTTCAAACGGGCCGGATCCGGCCTGCGGGCCGTAGTTTGCCCACGGCTGCTCTAGGGCCAGCTGCCCTGAGCTCCAGGATTCTTTCATCTTCTCAAACTGAAACTTTGTCCCTATTAAACATTAATTCCCCACCCCCCTCCACCTCCATCCAACCCCTGGCATCTACTGAAATTAATTTTTTTTAAAAATCCTCGCCCCAGGATATGTTTTTTAAAAATATGTTTTTTATTGATTTTTTTTTTTAGAGAGAGCACTGGAGAGGGATAGAGACATAGAAACATCCATGAGAGAGAATATCATTGATTGGCTGCCTCCTGTACACCCCCGATGGGATTGAACCCGCAACCCAGGCATGTGCCCTGACCAGGAATCGAACCAGTGACTTCTTGGTTCCTGGGTCGAAGCTCAACTGTTGAGCTACACCGGCCAGGCCAAAGGATATGTTTTTATTGATTTTAGGTAGAGAGGAAGGACGAGAGAAAGAGGGAGAAACATTAGTGGGTCAATCAGTCACCTCCCATATGTGTCTTAACCGGGGATCAAACCCAAGACTTAGGTATGTGCCCTAACGGGGAGTTGAACCCACAACCTTTTGGTGTATTGGACAACGCTCCAACCAACTGAGCCACCAGGCCAGGACCAGACAACCTTTTTTAAAATTATAAGGTATTTATTATTTATTTTATTTTATTTTAATCCTCACCTGAGAATATTTTTCAATTGATTTTTAGAAAGAGTGGAAGAGAGGGCAAAACAGAGTGAAATATCGATGTGAGAGAATCCATCAATTGGTTGCCTCTTGCACGGGCCCTACCAGGGCTCTGGGCCAGGGAGGAGCCTGCAACCAAGGTACATGCTCTTGACCAGAATCGAACCTGGGACCCTTCAGTCCACAGGCTGACGCTCTATCCACTGAGCCAAATCGGCTAGGGCCAGACAGATTTTTAAAAATATATATATTTTTATTGCTTTCAGAGAGGACGAGAGAGAGAGAGAGAGAGAGAGAGAGTGAGAGAGAGAGAGAGAGAGAGGAAGGGAGAAACAGACGTTCGAGAACAGGTGCCTTGAAGACATTAAAGCAATTGAAACTAGGAAATCCAGAGAATTCAAGATGTTGGGGTTTTTAAAATAAGTTAAATTTTTTAATTTGTCTGAGTGCACTTAAAAGTTGATTGTCAAAATAAAAAAAAAAAAAAGGACATCAGCGGGCAGTGGTGGAAACTCTGCCATTTAAAAAGTATTTGAATCATGAACTTTTGTTCCCCCAATGCTAATATGCAAAACCGTGATGCCCACGTTTAGGGAGTGAGAGGAATCGGATGTCTAAAGGTGCTCCTGTCGCATAGGCTTGGATCCTTAGTTTAAGCAAATATATTTATAAGTCCCTTACTTTCATAAGGATACACCTGAGATCAAATTTATTATAGACCTAGGAGTATTACTTTTCAAACGTTATAAGATTGAAACTTGTACTTCACATCACTAGGCTTGGTTTTCTTGAACTTTTGCTAAAGATTGGACTGGAAGATAATTCCTGTTGAACAGATTATTATACTAATAAAAGGGTAATATGCTGATTAGAAAAAAAAATCAATGATGAGAGAGAATCATTGATCGGCTGCCTCTTGCATGCCTCCTAGTAGGGATCGAGTGCCCTTGACCGGAATCGAACCCAGGACCCTTCAGTCCCCAGGCTGATGCTCTATCCACTGAGCCAAACCGGCTAGGGCAAGACAGACTTTTAATATCTGCTGTTTTTCAGATGTCTTGAAACAGTGATGTCCAGTTGAAATTTTTTCCTCTTCTCATTTAATATCTATATAATGAAGAAATTGAGAATGTAGCCACCCATTTTAACAGGAAAATGAGTTTATTACGCAAGGGCCATCTTTTGTGTGGGCCATCATATATGATCACCAAGGATTATTTAGTCAGAAGTTGAATGTATGCCCTGGGGTGGCTCAGTTGGTTGAAGCGTTGTCCCGGGCACCAGGAGGGTAAGTTCCATTCCTGGTCAGAGTACATGTACTTAGGTTGTGGGTTTGATCCCTGGTTGGGTGGGTATGGGAGGCAGCCTCTCTTGTTCGCTCTCTCTCCTTTCTAAAACAAAACAAAAAACAATTTAACATGTTTGTACCTTGTTTGACTTTTTTTTTTTTAATATATCTTATTGATTTTTTACAGAGAGGAGGGGAGAGGGATAGAGAGTTAGAAACATTGATCAGCTGCCTCCTGCACACTCCCTACTGGGGATGTGCCCGAAACCAAGGTACATGCCCTTGACCCGAATCGAACCTGGGACCCCTCAGTCCGCAGGCCGACGCTCTATCCACTGAGCCAAACCGGTTAGGGCTTGTTTGACGTTTTTACCAACACACATTACTCATGTACTTGGGGAAAATAAATGTTTGCAGTAGTTCTGTTGAGTGGCAAATTTGCTAGGGGAGAAGGCATGTCTGAGGGGGGCTTTGGCCTTTTAGCTTTCAGAAACTTGCAACCAGGATGCACCCAGGACCAAAATCTAACAAATGCTTGTTTATTTTTTGTTCCCAGTTAAAGTAAAAGAAATGCAGAAGAAAAGGTGAGACCATCCCTGGAGACCCTCAGAGGGTGGGTTTGGGAGGAAGAAATATTCAGTCGCAGAGCATGAGCTCCTGATGGGTGTAGGGACTCTAAGAGCCGGCCAGGTTCTGGGAACAGAAGGGCACTCCCCTGGCTGTGGGAGCTCCACCGCGAACAGCACCGAATGATGGGAGGGCCGCCTCATAGGAACAGGTGTGCGGGGCACTGTGCTAGGAGACGCTGAAGCGGAGCTCCTGTTAGCCTCATAGCGGCCCGGAAGCAGGCACTGTTAATAGCCCCGTTTTACAGACCAGGAGATTGAGGCACAGGGAACTGGTGGCTGAGCCTTCCTCACACCCTTTTACTGCCAGCTGCCAAAACTGTTCTAATCACTCTAGAAATCCACAGAGGGAGGAGGCGAGTGGCATCCCTGGGGTTGTGCGGTGCCCAACTTGGTGCCCTGGTCCCTGGGCATCAGGATGTTCCCACTGGTCCGGGCCTTGGTTTCTCCCCTCTGAGGGGGTGGACACGCTGCTGCCTGGTGGCAGAGAGCTAGCAGAAGCCCTGGGCTGGAATCCTGACCTCATCTGGCTTGTGGGCTCTTACAAGAGCATTTCCATATGAGAGGACTCAGGATGGGTGGGGAACTGAGGTCAAGTTTGGGGCCTGGAAAAAGCCTCCTGCCAGAGATGGCATCACTGTCTTCCCAATCCCTTTGCAGAGAGCGGGAATCCTGCTGGGCCCAGGGTAACTTCACCACCACAGGTTTGTGCTTCCTCCTTGATCCTGTCCCTACCCCCTCTCCCAGGCAGTTCACTGCCTCAAAACACTATGGGCCTCACTACTCACTACTGAACCTCTTTGGGGGCTGATCACTTCCCTTGGGGGCAAGAATACACTCTCTCCCCTTTCCAACTCCCCTCCACCCCATGTTTCACCTCTCACCTTCTCTCCTTGCCCTATGCTTGGGCCTTTCATGCACACTGCCCTCTGCCTAGAGCACTCTTCTTCCCTCTGGTCGCAGTCTGAAGGTCACCTCCTCCAGGAAGCCTTCCTTGATTTTCTAGACAGAGTCTGTGCTTTCTACTTACATGATCCCAACAGACACCCTGTCATTCTTCTTGCCCCTTAGTAGAAACACATTCAAGTAATCTTGCCTGTTGGGTATGTAATATTCGCCTCCACCGCTGGACGGTCAGCTCCACGGGGGACACACTTCGTCTGTCTTGTCCCCTGGAGCATCCTGGTGCTTTCACGGTATCTGTCACCATCCTCAAATGGAGCTCCATTTGTGGTCCAAACGTGTCGTTCTGCCGGCTTCCACCAGGGGGCGAGGGGTAGCCAGTCTGTGTGCGTGATGCTCGGGAAGGGGCCCCCAGTACTTTTTTCACTGTCTCGCGCATTTGTTGAGCACCTACTATGTATTGAGGTCTATGGGGCTCCCTCGATGACCAAGACAGAGGTGGTCTCTGACCACAAGCTCACATTCCAGGGGGGAACATCTGATGTTGGCCCAGATCTGTGGGGGCTAGGAGGGCCGTCCCCCAAAGAAGTGATATTTAAGCAGAGTCCTGAAGAAGGCGCTTCCGGGAGAACCTGGGGCAGCGGAGGAGCTGAGAGGTGCTCCCGAAAGCGGGAGTTGAGACGAGGAACCCATTTTCCAGAGGGCAGCGGAGGCTGCCGAGGAGGGCTGGGAGCAGAAGAGGGACGTGAAGGGCTCACCCTGTGAATGGGCTGGAAGGGAGCAAGGAGGATGCCCTGAGACGGTGCAGACCTTTCCTCAGGGTCTGCATTGGGTGCTGGGCTTGCGGGAAGTGGGTGAACAAGGAATTGAAACCGGCCCCAGTTTTGGTTTCCCTCTCTCTCTCTTTTTCAGACATGTCCTTTGATAATTCCTTGTTTGCTATCTCAACGGTAAGTTGTTTCCTTTCTTGGCTTACTGTCCTAATGCCAGGAAGGCAGGGGCCACCGCCAGGCTGGGTTGTTTCTGAGCCTGGGGGGGTGGGAAAAGCCCAGAATCACTGAGCAGGGATTTGTTTGTGAGCTGAGAGTTGGCTCTGAGACATCCCGGGGTTGGGGGTGGCCTCATCCTGGCCATTGTGTGGCAATGGGCAGGCCCCTGCGGGTGCTTGGTCTTGGGGTCAGCGCTGTCTCTGCATTCAGTTGGGACGACACCTTAGAATGGTGATAGAGGGGACTCAGGGGGACCTGGTGGCTTTGGGGGCGATCATGGAGCCTTGTGACAATCCGATGCACACTGTAGCCCCCTCCTGGTATAAAGAACAGCCTACTTTGTGTTCAGTTTCTGGGACTTCAGCTTAAATGTTCCTGTTGTACATTTTCCCTTTCAGTGGGGAGGGTCTCACTACACACACCCCTCCTCATCAAGGAGTGTGGCTCCCCAGGTCATACATGTTCAAGCTGGGATTTGAACCCCTCTGCACAACTGCATCTTGGGGTGGCCTTGGTGTTTATACTTTTTTTTTTTTTTAACTAAGTTAGAGAAGGCTGAGGCATGGACACCATAGATAAAGAGAATGTTCAGCTGCTCCTCTTCACACAGAGAGGAGTACAGGTCTGAGGTGGAGGTGGCCCCACTCCAGGTGGCCTCAGATGTCCCATTTGGACAAGTAGACACTTTTTTAAAAATATATATATTTTATTGATTTTTTACAGAGAGGAAGGGAGAGGAATAGAGAGTTAGAAACATCGATCAGCTGCCTCCTGCACACTCCCTACTGGGGATGTGCCTGCAACCAAGGTACATGCCCTTGACCGGAATCGAACTGGGACCCTTGAGTCTGCAGGCTGACGCTCTATCCACTGAGCCAAACCGGTTAGGGCAAGTAGACACTTTTAAAAAATATATATTTTATTGATTTTTTTCAGAGAGAAAGGGAGAGGGATAGAAAGTTAGAAACATCGATGAGAGAGAACCATTGATCAGCTGCCTCCTGCACGCCCCCTACTGGGGATGGAGCCCACAACCCAGGCATGTGCCCTGACCACAAATCCAACCGTGACCTCTTGGTTTATAGGTCAATGTTCAACCACTGAGTCACACCAGCCGGGCTCCCTCAGAGTTTCTTAATTCTATGGGGGGAGATAGACGATGCCACATGGGGGGAGTGACCAGGAAACTCGCTTCTCACTTACGTAGGGAATCCAAGGCATCTCAGAGATAAGCAACAAGCAGGACGTAGCTGCGGACGATTGATCCAGGCTCAGGACACCTTCCGGGCACAGCACATATAACTGGGGAGGAGGGCAGTGAGGAGCTGACGGGCCACGTGGAGAACTTTGACTTTTACCCCAAGTGGGATGGGAGCCATGAAGGTTTCAGAGCAGAGAAAGGGATGTAACCAGATCCAGGTGCTCATAGGCTGTGGGGACGACAGACTTGGAGGGTGTGAACGGACTGGCCCTCAGCGTGGTTTGGTCCAGCGTGTGGGCAACGGAGGTGGAAGCAAACGGATGCAGGTCAGGTAGACTCAGCAGATGGGAAACATGGCACTGCTTTTATTTTATTTTATTTTTTTATCCTCGGGTCCAAGGATATGTTTATTGATTTTAGAGAGAGAGGAAGGAAGAGAGAAAAAAAATATTTCCTATCTGCCCCAACTGGGAATTGAACCCGCAACCTTTTGGTGCTTGGGACTATGCTCCAACCAACTGAGCCACTTGGCCAGGGCATGGCGCTGATTTTGTGTTAGATGAGGGCTGAAGGAGGAGGAGGCGTGGGGGTGTCTTGGGGAGGGAAAAGGGACAGACCACCTCATTCGGTTATGCCCAAGAGCAGACGGAGACATGAGTCTGGAATTCCAGAGAGAGGAGCAGGGAAGTTTAAACCGGTCCCCAGTCCCTGGTACACAGATAGTGGCAAGGAAGGGGCTTGGCGCCAGGCTGTTCAGCCCTCTGAGGTCTTAGCTCTGGAAACAAATCCTGAGTTGTTAAGAAATGCCAGCAGGCAGGGCAAATTCTAAAACTTCCTGTGAGAAGCCACAGGCTCAAGGCACAAGCCTGATGATTTTTCCTTTTAAAAAGACATTTAGCCCTAGCGGTTTGGCTCAGTGGATAGAGCGTCGGCCTGCGGACTAAAGGGTCCCAGGTTCGATTCTGGTCAAGGGCATGTACCTTGGTTGCGGGCATATCCCCAGTAGGGGGTGTGCAGGAGGCAGCTGAATCGATGTTTCTCTCTCATCGATGTTTCTAACTCTCTATCCCTCTCAAATCAATAAAATATAAAAATAAAAAATAAAAAAAATAAAATAAAAAGACATTTAGCCCTAGGGGTTTGGCTCAGTGGATAGAGCGTCGGCCCTGGGACTGAAGGGTCCTGGGTTCGATTCCGGTCAAGGGCACCTACCTCATACCTTGGTTGCAGGCTAGATCCTCAACCCTACCCTGGTCAGGGTGTGTGAGGAAGGCAAACAATCAATGTGTCTCTCTCACATCGATGTTTCTCTCTCTCTGTCTTTTCCCCCTCCCTTCTACTCTCTCTAATAATCAATGCAAAAAAATATATCCTTGGGTGAGGATTAATAACAACAACAAAAAAGACATTTAAAATGAAACTATGGAAAACAGAGAAACAACTTATTTCTCAGTATCTCAGCCCTGGTGACTATATACTTATTTATTGCTATATTTTTTTATTAAATTTTTTTGAATATAAAACACACCCATATGTCAAAATTATACATATAGTAGTGTTTTTTTCTATCACTTAACCCTTCTCAACTACAGACATAGAAGTAACCACTGTTAGGAGCTTCTTGCAAAATGCAAGCAAAGGTTAAAATAGCAAATCTATATCCTTACCCTTTTATTTTATTGTAAAGATTTTTTATTGATTTTTTTTAGAGAGAGAGGAGGGAAAGGGAGAGAGAGACAGCAAAACATGAATGGCTGCCTCCTGCAACCCAGGCATGTGCTCTGACCAGAGTTGAACAGGCAAACTTTTTTTGTATGGGATGACACCAACCAACCCATACTGGCAGGATTATCCTCACTCTTTTAAACATAAATGATAGCATGACACCTACATTGTTATGTATGGTGCTTCTTTTCCTTAATGGTAAATTCTAGTGATCTTTTCTAGTTTCTTTTTTTTCAAATTATAGTAAAATATATATAATAAAATGTACCATTTAACCATTTTTAAAAATTTTATTGATTTTAAAGAGAGAGAAACATTGATTTGTTGTTCCACTTATTTATGGCATTCGTTGGTTAATTTTTTTATGTGCCCTGACTGGGGTAAACTCACGACCTTGGTGTATCAGGTTGATACTCTAACCAGCTGAGCTCCCCAGCTGGGATCCCATGGTAACCATTTTTAAGCAGTGCGGTTCCGTGGCATTAAGTACACGTACATTGTTGTGCAAACATCACCATCTTTCATTTATAGACTTGTCTTGCAAAACTGAAACTCTGTTCCCACTATACAGTAACTCGTCGGTATTGGCAACCACCCAGCCCTTGGCAACCGCCATTCTACTTTCTGTTTCTGTAGATTTGCCTTTGTTTGTTTGTTTGTTTGTTTTAGAGAGAGAGGAAGGGAGAGGGAAAAAATATCAATGTGAGAGAGAAACAGCAATCGGCTGCCTCCTTCATGCCCCCTACTGGGGATCGAGCCTGTCCAGGCATGTGCCCTGCCTGACCAGGATTTGAACCATCAACCTTTTGGTGCATGGAGCAACATTCAAGCTACTGAGGTACACCGGACAGGTCACGTAGATTTGCCTTTTTTGGACATTTTCTATAGAAGTGCGTCTATACAAAGTTCATCCTTTTGCGTCTGGCTTATTTCACTCAACATAATGTTTTCAAGGTTCACTCATGTTGTAACATGTCAGAATTTCCTTCCTTTCTAAGGTTGAATAATATTCCATTGTGTGTGTATACTACATTTTGTTTACCCAATCACCCACTGGTGACACTTGAGTTGCTTCCACCTTTTGGCTATTGTGAATAATGCTGCCATGAACACATGAACATGGGTGGGCAAGTATCTGCGTCCCTGCTTTCAATTCTAGTTTCTTTTTGGAACATTAGAAAGCTGTGCTCTTGGCTGAAATGAAAATGAAGCAGCTGACAGATCTCTTAGTGTGCACAGTATTACTACACTGAGGATCTTGAGGATCTTGATATTTACTTTGTAACACCCTATGAAGTGTGAGTGACTTATTATTATTATTATTATTATTTTACAAAACAAAGAGACTGAAGCTGGTTATGTGCCTTACTGGGGTCACCCAGCTTAGGGAGGACCTGGCTGCGCTCACCTGCCAGACTTCAGGTTTAGCAGGGTCATCTCTTCTTGGCTGGCGTTTGGAGCAGGA